AGGATTAACAAAAAATAAATAAATAAATTAGCAAACTTCCCAGTCACAGCAGCAATCAAGGTCCCTCTCATTAGTAGGACTCTGATTAAGAAAGGAAAAGGCACATGCCCTCTCTCTCTCTCTCTCTCTCTCTCTCTCTCTCTCTCTCACACACACACACACACACACACACACGCTCACTCTTCTACTCACTGTCTGACATCTGACAGAGTAAAAGCTCAAAAAATATTCAGAAACTGGTAACTTTAAGCATTCGCATTCATTTAAGGTTTAGTAAAACTTGGCTCTAGAAGTTTCCATGGCATAAAACTTGGCATCTGGTCTATCTATAACCTACCTCTAATTGTATTTGCCAGTGTGTCCATTCACTCACCTTTACCCTAGTCTCCAGACACAGAACTAATGTCTGTTTCCTACAGACGATCTCTAAAATTTTACCCATCAACCAAAATCATCTTGTCCTCAGTGCCATGGGTTTCAGTCTGAACCACCTTTCCAAATCCAGCTCAAATACCCCCTAATTAATTCAGTCTCACCCATCTGAGGCCACTGTCCCTGCTTCTGTATTCCTTGGGGGTCTTAACTACACTGGGGGTGAACAAATCAGTTAATATATTATAGATAATTAGAGGCAGGTTTCTCACTGTCAGAAAAATAAGGTAAATGTAAGGAAAGGGAGAAGGCTAACTGAACTCTGTGATGTTAGACTAAAATTGAAGATATCAGTATGAACTCATGATTTTTAATGGATGGGTAAGTGGATGGATGAACAGATAGATATAAAGATGAGTGTATTCATGAATAAGTAAACGTACATATATTTCCTGGCTCTGTCTCTTTGGAGAGTCTAGAAACAATAACACCCCAAAAGCATATGCATCCACATCTTGGTTTCTAAATATCATTCTCCAATAAAAGGAGAAGTGATTGATTACAAGGCTGGAGCAAGGAAAATATAAGGAGAGCCTGGGGCATCTTGTGGTACCAAAAAATTGAGATGGTGTCTAAAAATGATAAAGCATATCAAAAAGACACAGGAGCCCGGCCAGGGTGACTTAGTGGATTGAGCATCGTCCCATTCACCAAGAGGTCACTGGCTAGATTCCCAGTCAGGGCACATGCCCAGGTTTGAGGCTCAACCCCCAGTAGGAGGCAGCCGATCAACGTTTCTATCTCTCCCTTTCCCTTCCTCTCTCTCTCTCTAAAGAATCAATAAAAACATATTTAAAAAAAATAAAAAGACAGGAGAAGTCTGATGAGTTCCCAATGGCCACAGTTTGAACAATTTGGGCAATAAAATTAATAATAATTGTTTTGGATTATAACTCATAGAATAAAACAAGTGTCCATGAGTTCATAGTGATAAAAAAAATTTTTCAGTAAAGAACTGAAGGGACACTTCTTCCTCATAGAAGAATTCCAACTAATAAACGTAGAAATAAGAACAACAGAAATCATTAACTTGTTCGTTAAAATGATAAGGAGCCAACAAGGCAAACTCTGTGCTTCTGAGTCGCCTCTCTGGCTGGATTAAGTAATCCCCATGTTTAATTAAGTAAAGCCTCTCATCTCTGTTCTTACAAACTCAGTTGGGGCAAAGCCACTGCTACTGCTTTACAGACAGAGGTACTTCGTGGTGAGCCAGAAGCCAAAATGGCTCAAATTCTACCCACACCGTCCAAGCCTCTCCTCATACTGTTTTGGAATTTCTGGATTTAATTTCTTCCTGAGAGAGAAGTCCTGCTGTGACCTATCAAAACCCTGATTGTGCTTTAAGATCCAGCTTGCTCCTCCGAGATTCCCCAGTGTATCAGGACTCATTTAGTTGCAAGTAATAGAAAACTGAACTCAAACCATGCTAAGCAAAAAGAGAATTTCCTGGCACACCTAACTAAAAAGTCTAGCGGTAGTCTGGCTTTAGTCTCCGTTAAACCCAGGGACTCAAATGACACATCTCTCCACAATACTGGCTGCATTCACAAATGGGCTTTCCCGTCAAGGGGGCAAGACGGCTACCAGTAGCCCTAAGCCAACATCCTATACTCTCTGCTCATCCAGCAGAAAAGACACTGTCCTATGGGAGACACCCCCAAAAGTCCTGGAGCTTATGCTCACTGCCCAGCCTGGCACAGGTGCCCTCCCTGAATCAATCTCTAGGGCCAGAGGAATGGGACTAAGTCACATGCCCACTCTTGTAGCTGAGGATGGAATGAGCCCCATTCAAACCTCATGGTGAGTACCTGAGACATGACTAATTCCCCAAAGGAAAGTTTGGATGAGAATGGTTCTTGATAAGAATGGTTCCTGAGCTGTAGAATTAAGATATGTCCACTTACCCCAACCCCTCGGTCAGAATAAACTGTCCTACATCCTCCAGCCCATTGTCTGAACGTCAAGCATCCTGAGCACCAGGGATCTCATTCTCAAAGCCCCTGGGCCCCACCCCATACCCTCAGCTGCCTAGCAAAGTGCCACTGGCCCCTAGGAAACACTCCACATCGGGTCCCACCCCCTCCTGATTCAGGGCTGAGTCACTGAGATCCAAGTCAGCTGAGCACCAACCTTGAAAGTGCCTGCCAAGCTCATCCCCTGGCTCTGGCGTACTCCAGGACCTGGGGACGCTGCCTTGACAGGTGAGATAATTATGTTTTACCCTTCGCTCACTCCTTTATCAGTCACTTGGATGAGAACAGATAAGTGTTCTGATGGAAGAACACACTCCTGCAGTGTTTACCTGTTCTCTTTAGTGCCGGCCAGCAGCTCCTCCTTCCAAGGCACAACTCTAGGGCCAGCTCACACCCATTATATGGTGCCAACTACCATGTGCTGCCCTCTTGTCAAATGCCAGTGTCAAATGCACTCTCTTATTCAATTTCCCCAGGCCCTGCGGCACCCTGGCCTTTCAGATAACTTACACATGGAAGGCGACTGTCTCCATGGCACCCCTGCCCCTGCCTGCTCTGCCCTTGGCCCTCTCTGCAGAATGTTGCTCTGGGGAGTTCCAAGGCCCATAGCATTAGTTATGGGGAGGGAGACAGCATTAAGTGCTACAGACTTTGAGACCTTCCAATACAAACTTTCATTCATGCATTCATTCAACAAACCTTTATTCTGAACCTACTGTGCCCGGAATCCTGTTGTAGGTGCTTCAGATGCACAGAAACACAACACAGACAAGTCCCTGTGCTCATGGAGCACACCTTCCAGACGCCATCTGACTTATTTACATTTACATTTCACAAAATATTCCTTAATGATGGGTATAACCATCTCCAGCCTACAGACAAGGAAAATGGCAGCTCCCAAAAGGACTTCGCCAAAGCTGAGGCACAAACTCAGGTCTTCTGATTCCAAACCTTACTCTCTTTCCGGGGCCTCTCCCAAGGCAAGTAGCTAGCAAGGTGCAGCTTGGCATTGACACAGGCATTCAATCAACTCAGTCCCAGGCATCATCATTAGAGGTAGAAGTTATAAAAAAGACCCAATCCCTGATTGAACAGAATCTATAGTCTTAAGAGAGAAAAAGACCAACTATCATTTGTGGCAGGAATAAAGGTAGGGTGATTAAATTCAAAGAGGAATCTATCTCTAAAATAATACACAGGAAATAATGACCTCCTTCAGGCAGGAAAATTGGGATCCTGAGGAACAGGGATCTGAGAATCATTTTGTATGTTCAAATATTATATATTTTGAATTGTGTGCCATGCAAAACTATTTCCTATTAAATGACACTTTGAGGATGCAATCAGCCAAATCCTGAATGTGGAAAATTCTAGGGGATAAATGATCTGGTTCTTCAATAAGCAAAAAAGCTCAAAAAAATAATGAAAGAAAAGAGGCAGGGGAAATAGAGATTTGAAAGGATTCAGGGAACATCAACCAAATGCAATATTTGTACCTTATTTGGATCCAGATTTGAACAAACCAACTTTAAAAATATTTTTGGGGGACAACAAGGAAGATTTAAATGTGGACCATTAGAAGTTATTAAGGAATTATTTTTGTTAGATATGATCATGGTTTCTTTAAAGCTCCTTATTGATTAGAAATACATACTGAAGTACTTACACATGAAATAATACGAAGCCTGAGACTTGCTTTTAAATACTTCAACAAATAATAATAATAAATAAATGCATAAAAAATAAACAAAGGAATAAAGGGGGAAGTAATAAGACAAGATTAGCAAAATATTGATCATTGATGAAGCTGAATGACAGTCCACAGGACTTCATAACACTATTCTCTCTACCCCTATGGATGGCTGAAATTTCCATAATGAAAATGTTAAATAAATTTTTTAAAAATTAATTATTCCATCCACCAAAGATGATTGATAAGGGGAGGTGTTTGAGCTGAGTCTTGAAGGATGACTTGGAATTTTCTAAGGGGCAAAGGGCTGAGCAACGACATATCTTTCTGGAGGAACCAAAAGTATCTGCATTTGACCCCAAACTCAACTTACATTCAACAAAGATGCCCTCTTACTTGATGCCCCAACTCTCTGGCATATCTAGTCACAACATCAAAATCAACCACCCTATTCCAAGTGAGAACAGAGTGTGTGGAGTCAACAGCTCCACCCAGAGGCCTACAAGAGGCCCCAGTGTCGCCCTCAGAGGACAGAAAAACAATTAACCTCTTTCAACTGGGTTTTGCCTGACAAAGCAGTTTGGAAGCCAGCTGAGTTATCTCAGAGACAGAGCCTTCCTTCCTCCTGAGCCATTCCAGTAAAGACACTCCCAGCCTCCCTGACAGTGCCTTGTAGATCCATGGTCTTGGCACTACAGGATCCAGCTGGATGTCAGCCTGGCAGCCCAGCCCCTTCTGGCAGCCACAGCACCTCCAATGAGGAGGTGGTCCTTCCCTCCTTCCTCCCCAACCCCCATCCTCGATCCCCACACTGGCCCCTGCACACAGGAAGTGTGCTGCCTTTGCAGCCACTTCGGGACTTACTCAGTCCTGGTCTGGCTCAGACGGGTCCCATGAGTCCTTACCTCAGAGCGAAGCTGTGCATACTCCTCCGAGCCATAGGGGACACTCCTCAAGGAAGTGAGATAGTCATAACTGATGACAGCTGTCTGTGAAGCAAGGAAGGGGGAAACTTAGTGCCCCGGCATCAAAAAGGACCCCTCTGCCAAAGAACTAAAGCTGCAGGCCCCTAACATTGGGGAACAGGTAGTCCCACCCCTCAGACACTGCCCCCAGATTTTTTTTTTATTGTTTAAAGTATTACATATGTCTCCTTTTTCCCTGATTCCACCCCCAGATCTTAACCTGGCTGGCTTTTTCCTGCTAATCAGAGCTCTGCACAAATGCCACTTCTGCAGAGTTCCAATCTAAAGTTGCCTCACCCACCAGGAACTCTCAATTGTCTGTCATAACAAACCACCATCCAAAATTACCTTGCTCACTTGTTTCCTTGTATATGGACTGTCTCCCCTGTGCTAGAATTTCAGCTCTATGGGCACAGGGGCTTGTCCTTACCGTGTCAGGCATATAGGTAAATGCTCAGTAAATACTAATTGAATGAGGGCTGTTGGGTAAGCTTATCCCACTCTCTGTATCACTAATAAACATAATTTTATATTTATGTTTGCTCTAGTAGCATAAGTTTTGATTCTTGGTCCCTTGGCCAAAACTCCAAGAGAAGCCCCTTAACCTCGGGTGAATCAGAAGACTACAGTCTCCCAGATATCTCAGGCATGGAGGAACTGTGGAGATTGCCTTGCCCAAACATCCCCTTTTAGAATTGAGCAACTGAGGTTAAGGTGAGGACACACTCACACCCTAGAGCAGTGATGGCAAACCTTTTGAGCTTGGTATGTCAGCATTTTGAAAAACCCTAACTTAACGCTGGTGCCGTGTCACATATAGAAAATTTTGGATATTTGCAACCATAGTAAAACAAAGACTTATATTTTTGATATTTATTTTATATATTTAAATGCCATTTAACAAAGAAAAATCAACCAAAAAAATGAGTTCGCGTGTCACCTCTGACACGTGTGTCATAGGCTCGCCATCACTGCCCTAGAGGTTAAGGTGAAAAGGAAAATAAGGGGGGGCGGGGGGAGGGCTTGCAACATAGCTCAGTATCTGGTTAAAACTGTAGTCTTACTTCCCCACTCTGACTGACTTGGGTGGCGCTGCAGAGCCTAACCCCAGGGCCCAGCCACAGCTGATCTGGGCAGAGCTGCGGAGCATGCCCCAAGGCCCCGCCAAGACTGACTTGGGCAGAGCTGCAGGGGCCCGCCCGCCACAGGAGATATATAGGTCAGAGCCTCCCCACGAGTTCAGTTCAAACTTTGGATCCGGAATTCCCCTTTATTTAGCAGATCTGCGAAATAAAGGTTAAACTTTCCTCCCTCAGAGTGCTAGCTGATCATTCTCTCGTGCATTCTGCCACAACAAAGGGGCTTACAAAGCTGATATTGAGAGTTCATTCCTTCATCTGCACCCCAAAACTTTATTCCATTTGACATATCCTTGTTGCACGGCAACCACAACCAAGACCTGGTCACTAAGCAGTGCAGAAGAATAGTCAAGACCAGAACCCTATCCTTTAAAGCAGTGATGGCGAACCCATGATACGCGTGTCAGAGGTGATACGCCAACTCATTTTTTTGGTTGATTTTTGTTAAATGGCATTTAAATATATAAAATAAATATCAAAAATATAAGTCTTTGTTTTACTATGGTTGCAAATACCAAAAACTTTCTATATGTGACACGGCACCAGCGTTCAGTTAGGGTTTTTCAAAATGCTGACACGCCGAGCTCAAAGGTTCGCCATCACTGCTTTAAAGAATGCACAGCCTAGTGGCTGGTTTATAAAGCACTGGTAAAGACCTTCCTCCCTCTGTCCAACTGTTCAAATCCCTAAGGCTCTATCAAACCCTGCTTCCCCTATGGCACTCATCCTGACTCCCAGCCCAAGGGCTCACTCCTGTTTCTGAGGCCCCACAGCTGTGGTCATCTGAGTCACTCATCTTGAGCCCGTGCATGGCTGTGGATTGTTTTCTGACCCATTCACATGAGCACTTCTCAGCCAGAAGCTCCTTCAAAGCTTTGTCTAAGTGGGACAGTTTGCTTCTACTCCTCAAAGCATATGAGACAATGCTAGACCCCAAAAAGGCACTCAGAAAACACAGAAATCGTTACATAGTCCATGCTCTGTTTATCTATTGTCTGTCGTGATTCTCTGACTCGGCTTTCCCTAGAAGGTAGGCATTACAGCAGCCTTTCCTCTGAACTAGGCCAGCGAGAAGACTTGATAACACCAAGTATTAAAGAAATGGTTGGACAACAACCCAAACAGACTGTGCATCAGAATAAAGCTATCCCAGGGGGAGAAAGGTTGAGCTCATCCTGTAGGACACAGAGGAGGAAAGAAAGCATGAAGCATGTAGCAATCTACCCACAAGCAAATGGGACAATGATATAGGCTACCTTCCACAGAGGACACACGACAGAATGATGCTCCTGAGCCAGTGGGCAAAACCATCAATGGTCACATCATCAACTCAGATTCTCAGTCAGTTAGGGGACTGGAGGGAATCCCCAAAGTTCTCTGAGGCCTAGATGCTGACTATGAGCCCTGCATCAAGAACCATTCACACTAGCTTATTGGAGAGAGGGGGGAAAAGAGAGAAAGAGAGAGAGAGAGAGTTAAATACAGAAAGAGAGAGACCGAGAGAGAGAGAGAGAGAGAGAGAGAGACCAAGTTTTCTGATACAATTTAATCAAAATGGCAAACGCTTCTTTTCAGGTATTCACTGAGGAGCACTGTCCTCTGAGTCTGTCACTAAAATTAGATATGGAGCCGAAACCGATTTGGCTCAGTGGATAGGGCATCGGCCTGAGGACTGAAAGTTCCCGGGTTCAATTCCGGTCAAGGGCATGTATCTGGGTTGCAGGCACATCCCCAGTAGGGGGTGTGCAGGAGGCAGCTGATCGATGTTTCTCTCTCATTGATGTTTCTGACTCTCTATCTCTCTCTCTTCCTCTCTGTAAAAAATCAATAAAATATATTTTTAAAAAAAAGTAAAATTAGATATGGAACTTAAAATGTAGGCTTTCACACAAATATCCTGTACAATCCTACTCTCCTTAACTTCAGGACGGCAGAGGTTGTGTATAAAGGGATGTCAGAATGAGAAGGTATATATCCATGCCTGCACAACAGTGTAGAGGGAGCTTTGCACATGTAAGGGTAGGTACATGTGTAGCTCCACAAATGTGTGACCAGCATGTCCATCTGCTACATATATGAACACCTGCATGTAATATGACAGTTCCTTTCCGCCCCCAATTGAGAAAAAAACACCTACCGTAGCAACTGCTCTGCCCACCCTGACGGCACCAAAGTCATTAGGGTCCAAGTACTTGTTACTGTAGAGGTAGAAGCCAGAGGCAGCAAGAGCCATGCTGGTCCAGGAAGCGAGCTTGAAAGTCCTTCTGGCCATGTTCCCAAACTGCAGAAGGCAAGTAGAGAAAGAGGAACAGTTGAGTTTCATAAACAGACCAGGATTCAAATCTAGGCTCTTAATAGATTGTATGACCTTGGGTCATTTTCTTAATCTCATTGTGCCTCAGTTTTCTGTTTGTAAGACAGTATCATACCCAACTCAAAAGTTGTTGGGATAAAATGAGATCATGTATAGAATAAACTCAGCATAGTACCCAGCACACAAGCCAACTCTCAACATAGTCCTTGCCCATGTGGTGCTTACACGTTAGGTGGGATGACAGATCATAAGCACACAGACGTAATATATTAAAATGCCAGCTGGTATGAAGTGCTGAGAAGAAAAAGAGGGTCCTGACCAGTTTGGCTCAGCGGATAGAGCGTCGGCCTGCGGACTGAAGGATCCCAGGTTCGATTCCGGTCAAAGGCATGTACCTTGGTTGCGGGCACATTCCCAGTAGGGAGTGTGCAGGAGGCAGCTGAATCGATGTTTCTCTCTCATTGATGTTTCTAACTCTCTATACCTCTCCCTTTCTCTCTGAGAAAAATCAATAAAATATATTTTTAAAAAAAGAAGAAAAAGAGGGCAAGAGGAAAGATGATGAATATGCGACAAGACGTGCCTTTTTCTATAGGAAAAGTGGCAGAGCATGTCAACAGTCATTACTTGTAACTAATATTATACCACCATGCACACACAGGTGTCATTAGGCTTCTATGCCCAGGTCAGAAGGGGTCAGAAGCAGCCAGGTAAGCCTTGCACATTTGGCTGATTTTCGTTAGAATAGACTGCCCCTTGTCTAGACTGTGAGCTCTTTCAGTGCAAACACCATAACTGTTACTCACAGAGCTATAGGGTGCTGTACGGTTAGGGTTTCAATGTCCACCTCCTGACCTGATAGGTTTAACCAAACCCACACTCACAGTCAGTGGGACCAAGTAGGCTTCTGACTCCATGATACCTTCTCCCACCCTACTTGTACCTGCTCAGTCCACCATGGCTACATAGTCACTCTTTGGGGCTACTGCACTCAGTGGGCTGCTTCTCCTGGGAATTCTAATCAGACTAGTCTTCAACCACAGCTGCAGCTCCCAAAGGAGAGGTGAACCCAGGAGAGATGCACCAGCAAACCACTTTCCCGTGGGGTCTCACCTCACTCGGATGAAGAGTGAAGGCCCTGGCATGACTTACAAGATCCTACTTGACCTGACTGCCCAATTCCGTCCAGGGTCTCAGCCCTTCCCACCTTCCCCCTTGCCACCTCACTCCAAAGGCACTGGCTGTTGCTCAAACATGCCAGGCACATTCTGGCCTCAGGGCCTTTGCACATGCTGTTGTCCTACCTGGAACAGGAGTCAACAAACTATTTCTCTAAAGGTCCAAACAGTAAATGTTTTTTTTTATTTACAGGCTACAATATCAGAACTATTCAACCCTGCATTGTAGCTGAAGGCAAAAAGCAGCCTAGATGACACGTAAAGTAATGGATGTGACCAGATTTGGTTCTCAAGGTTTGACGTTGGCCAAACCTTGGCTTAGCTCATAGTAGGTATTCCAAAAGAATTTACTGAATGAATTAATCAATGAATGGATAAACTATACCCCATGAGCCTGCGCAGAGCCAGTAACAACATACGTCCCCAGGTGAGAATCACATACCCAGGGCTGCCAGTTGGATAGCCATCCCCCTCTGGACAGCCCCAGCACCAGCTCCCAGCCCTCGCCTCCTCTGAACCCCATCTCCTAGTGCACCATCCTCCACATCTGTCCTTGTAGGTGATGAGGCCACCCTTAGCCTTGAGACAACCTCTGGGTGGGGAAGCAGCTGCGAAATAGACATAACTCCCAAGACCTGGTTTTCATACAAATGTCCGCAGAAATAAAAGAGGTGGAAATTGAAAAACATAAAATAGATGATATAGGAGCCAAACTGTGTCTAAATAGACTGAAGCTGGAGTTTTCCATAAGGTGTCAGGGAGTCTTTAACATGCAAATTAGTTGCTTCCCTCAGGGTATTTTAAAAGACCCTGTCAGCCGTGAAATATGTCAGTCCATGAAAAACACCTCTCATTATTAAACCCTTTGCTAATGGATCACCTACTCTCTTCTGTTTACTTGCCTTTTTACTTTCACCTGAGTTACCTCTCATAACATACACTTGAAGGGGGAGGGGCGACTGAGGTCACCAAGACCCTAAACCTAATCATTAGATAAATAACATTAGCGATAACTAACCTTACAAAGCTCTTTGCACTCATTATCTCATTTGATATTCCACACAACCCAGTGAGGTGAGAAATATTATTACCAGCCCCAGGTATAAATAAGGAAACCGATGAGCACAGAGGGCGAGTAATTTGGCCCAGGTGGAGTAAGAGCTTGGGCCCTACTCTTTATGACAAGTGACCTCTTTGACAGGCCCTCCCAGACCTCTCCTCACCAACATTCTTACCACTGTTCACCCGTTAACTGAATCAGCCACTCTGGGCAGGGACTATGATTTCTGACCCTCTACCACACCCAAGTAATGCCAGGCATATGGAAGATGCTGCCTGGAGCCCTGGAAATCAACATGTCACAAGAGCAACCAAAGACCTCACTAGAAACAACGGATTCTAGCCTATGAGACATTTAGGAGAGCTGTGTCATTGACAAAACTATGATTAAATGAGGCAACAGGGAAGTCTGGAAATTGATGGGCAAATGAAATATCATTCCCTGGACAGAACTAAATGGGGAACCTCACACTTACTGTTCACGGGCCTGTAAGTAGCTAGACCTTTTCAGTTACCATCCCTCCCCACGTTACATTCTGTGACAATAAGCCTGGAATCATCTCGCCCTGCTTGGTGCCCAGATGAGAATGGTCACAGAGGAAAAGCAAATAGGGCCCTTCTTCCATTACGCCTGTAAAATGATCACAGTCTCTTCCCATTTCCTAGACAGACTATTAGACAAATGAGCCTGATTTTTCCTGGTTACTGTCATGGATAAAGAGCAAACAAGGCGGATGGTTCCATCATGTCTTGTGTCTGGAAAGATGTTGAGTCTATGCCCAGGTTTTGGCCTGGGCAGGTTTATAATCTGTTCTGCCCTATAGAGAGTGATGCAGTCCCAGCGTAACCACACTTCCCTTCCTAGTGTTTGATGCCCAGAAGGTGGCTGAATCAATATTGATTAAATAAAGGAATCCCTGACTGATGCCAAGGTCCCAGAGTAGACAGGGAAAATAAATCTCATCCAAGCAAGGAATAGGGAGGGGTTCTTCATTCTCCTGGGAATGAGGGCCTCAGGGAGAACAGTGGAAAATCAAGTGTCAAGAGCCAGCAGCGGGCTAAGCAAGAGGTAGAATGCCAAGTGCTTAAACATCTCATGTGACTTGCACAACGTATTCTGAGGTGCACACTACTAGGGCCTCATTCTACAGATAAGGAAGTTGAGTTTTAGAAAAGGTAAGAAACTCGGCAGGGAAGCTAATAAGTGATGGAGCCTGAACTTGAATGCAGGTGTGTCTTTCCAACCAGGAGAGCACAGGGTACAGACAAACAAGTGGTTGGCTGGGCCCTGAGGTGGGTCACTGGAGTCCCTCAGTGAGTTGGGGCATAGGGGAGGGGAAAGGAATGGATGTCTGAATCAAGCACTATTCTTATTTTACAGGTCCCTTGTCTGACAAGAAAAAGTGTATATCAGAAAGAAATGAAATGCAAACTCTCCCAGCAGAGATCAAATCTGGCATCCATGAAGGCTGTTGAAAAATAGCCAAGCCAGTAATGACATAATAAGATAGAATATGATGTAATAACTACAAAATTAAACCAGCACACAAGAACAGAAAGGCCTATAACCAGGTGTAAAGGGTAAGAGTACATAGAATTTTTTTTCTCCCCTTATATAACAGTAGAACTCAAAAATAAGTCTCCAGAGCAGCAACATCCCCATGTCCTAAGCGGATGCAAATTCTTGCTCCCCACTCAGACCTACTGAATCAGAAACTTTGGGGGGTGGGGTCCAGCATGGTGCTGTAACAGCCCTCCAGGTGCTCTGATTCCAGCTACCGTTTGAAAATCACTGCAATAGGAACTTGCTTTAAGAAATTGTGGGAAGGCACAGATAAACTCTAATTCACTTTCAACTGGGCAAATATAGCCTGAGCACCCACGAAGTGCCTGCCAGGCATCATGGAGGTAATCAATCAATACTAGTTGAATTGAATGACTTCCTAGTCAGTCGAAAGTAAATGCCACTTAAACTGGGGAGAGAGCTGCATCGGGTGTCTTCTAACGGCTGCTCTCCACACACGGGGCTGTCACGGGCACTCATTCATTGTGCGACCCGAAAATGCAAGGCCTGGCAAGGTGCTGGAAAGGAGGTGCGCTCTGGGCCCGCCGCACGCACCGCCAGGCGGGAGGGCCAGCTTCTGCGTGGCCCCTGCTTTTGTTCAGCACACGCTGCAGTCCCAGCTGCCGGCGCCTTGCAGCTCACAAGTCACCGGGGGCTGAGGATGTCTGGGTGAGCACCCTGCTGCCCTCCAGCTCCAGCTCTGCCTACAGGCAAGACTGCGCCACCGAAGAAGCCAGGCCACGCTTCAGTATATTGATAAATATTGAAGTAAGCCAGGCAGGAGAGTCACCGCCGAGGGGGCGGGGCACTGCCAGCCACCTGAGCCACGTGCCCGCGCCCGGCGTGACAAGGTCACGGCTGGGGTTTCCTCCAGGCTCCCCAGGTGGCTGCAGTGGCCCGAGCAGGGGAGAGCGCCCGGCGTGTCCACGGTGGCTTCCCCGCGCTCCACGCGCCGTGAGACCCTGGCGGCCCCGGCTCTGAGCCCGCTTCAGAAGGACCGCCCTACTCACCCAGAAGGAAGCAGAGCCGCGGCGCCCGGCCTCCCGCCGCAGTCGGGAACCGGAGGTGTCAGGAAACGTCGCTCTCCTCCACCCCCTGGCTGCGTTTGGTTGAGCCGGGCGCCGCGCGGCCTGCCGGGACTTGTAGTTCTGGGTTCCCTAAGCCGCAGGGACCCTGGACAAAGAACCGCCGAGGTCCCGCTGGACCGCTGAACCAGAGGAGGCAAAGGGGTCACAGACACTGTACCTGTCAGATGGCCTTGTTTCTTCGCCTGGGCCGCGGACATGGAATCTCCCTGAAAACTTGTTTTTCAGGAGGCTTTACAAATAGGAAAGTGTTCAGTGGAGGATGGAGTTGTGGGCTGTGTGTTTTTAATAAGGAATTAGAACCAGTAGTTAAGGAAGAAATGTACTGGCAGTTGTTAAGTAGTACGGATATGCTCATTAATCTTAATTATCTTTGGCCCCCATTTGTTCGTTCTGACAGCTATCAAATGTTTGTTCATAAGATGTATTTTGGTTTTTTGTGTTTTTGTAAATATATTTTTATTGATTTCAAAGAGGAATGGAGAGGGAGAGAGATAGAAACATCAATGATGCCCTAGCCAGTTTGGCTCAGTGGATAGAGCCTTGGCCTGTGGACCGAAGGGTCCCGGATTCTATTCCAGTCAAGGGCATATGCCCGGGTTGCAGGCTCAATCCTTAGTGGGGGCCTGCAGGAGGCTGCCGATCAATGATTCTCTCTCATCATTGATGTTTCTAGCTCTCCTTCCCTCTCCCTTCCTCTCTGAAATCAAAAAAAAATTATATATAAACAAAAAAAAGCAACAGATGCATATAAAAAAAAATAAAAACATCAGTGATGAGAGAGAATCGATTGGCTACCTCCTGCATGCCTCCTATTGGGCACTGAGCCCACAGCCTGGCATATGCCCTTAACAGAATCGAAGCTGGGACCCCTCAGTCCATAGGCTGACACTCTAAGAGTACATAGGATTTTTTTCCCCCTTATATAAGAGTAGAACTCAAAAATAAGTCTCTAATAAAAATAGCTGACACTCTATCCACTGAGCCAAACCAGCTAGGGCCATAAGATGTATTTTGGAGACATCAGACTTTCATGCATTCTACAAACACTTCTTGAGCTACTTCCTGTGGGAAGAGATGGGAGTGGGACTCACCTATCGATTCAATGCAATTCCAATTAAATTTCCAACAAGACTTTTTCTGGACCTTTACAAGCTAATATGCAAAAACAAAGGGCAAAGCATAGGCAAAATACTTTTGAGGAAAAGTAACATGTTTCAAGGACTTGCCCTTCCATCTATAGCCATCTATAATAATAAAAGTGTAATATGCTGATTAGACCAGACATCCTTCCAGACGACCTTCCAGATGAAGCCGGGGCTGTGAGTGAATTTTGTGCATTGGACCTATAGTTTATTATAAAACTATAAAAATAACACAGGTGGTATTAGAATAGGAATAGCCAGAGGGGGGGGAATGAAACAGCCTAGAAGAGTCTGGAAACAGGTCCACCCATGTATGGAATCTTGATATGAAAGAGCTAGCATTTAAGAGCAATGGAAGAAGATAAACTATTCAGTTTCTGAACTAGAACAACTAAGTATCTGTGAGGTCCTAACTCATCCACACACAAAACCTAATTCCAGATAGATTAAAGATTTTAAAGGGAAAAGGCAAGATCAGAATTGGGGGGGAGGGGTGTTAAGGAAAACATCCTATAATCTCAGGGTAGTCTTTATTAGATAACATAAGACCAAACGGTATAAAAAACTTTAATAAATTTGGACTGCATTAAATTCAGGATATATAGCAAAGTCCTGGCCCCAGCAGTGTCACTTGGTTGGGGTTGGGTAGGAGGAGAGAGAGAGACAATAGAGAAGCAAAGAAATAATAGGATAGTTATATGATGTAATAAACCCTGTGAAGAAAAGAAGCAGGGGAGTGTGGTAAAGAGCAGTCAGGCAGCCTAGCTGGCTTGGCTCAGTGGTTGAGCATCAACCTATGAACCAGAAGGTCACAGTTCAATTCCCAGTCAGGGCACATGCCTGGGTTGTTGGCTCAATCCCCAGTGTGGGGTGTGCAGGAGGCAGTTGATCAATGATTCTCTCTCATCATTGATGTTTCTCTCTCTCTCTCTCTCTCTCTCTCTCTCTCTCTCTCTCTCTCTCTCTCTCTATCTCTCTCTCTCTCTCTCTTTCTCTCTCTCTCTCTCTCGTCCTCTCTGCAATAAACCTATATATATATAAAAGCCTAATATGCAAAGTGTCCCTCAGGAGTTCAACCGACTGGGAGTTCGATAGCTCTCTATGATGTGCGCTGACCACCAGGAGGTAGTGCGGAACAAAGGAAGGCCCCAGCTGACAGCTGGCAGCCAAGAAAGGGAGGCCCCGGCCTGCAACTGACAGCTGCTAGGGACCCTACCCATGCACAAATTTCATGCACTGGGCCTCTAGTAAAAATATATTTAAAAAAAAAAAAAAAAGAGTAGCCAGGCCGCCCTGGCCAATTTGGCTCAGTAGCTAGAGCATCAGTCTGTGGACTGAAGGGTCCCAGGTTCAATTCCAGTCAAGGGCACATGCCCAGGTTGTGGCTCAATCCCCAATAGGGGGCATGCAGGAGGCAGACAATCAATGAGTCTCTTTCATCATTGATGTTTCTATCTCTCTCTCCCTCCCTTCCTCTCTAAAATCAATAAAAATATTTTTTTTAAAAAATAAGAGTAGTCAGGCAAGGCCTCTTTGAGGCTTCTTAACCTGATAAATGAGGAAGTCAGCCATGGAGAAGATGAGGAAGCATGTTCCAAGCAAATGAAACAGCAAGTGCAAAGGCCCAGAGGTAGGAAAGAGCTTGGCATGTTTGAGAAACATGTTTTAAATTGAGATGGGATATGACCAGAGAAGCTAAATAGGAAATGTACTGAGGCCCTAGCTGGTTTGGTTCAGTGGATACAGCATCAGCCTGCAGACTGAAGGATCCCGGTCAAGGACACATGCCTGGATTGCGGGCTTGATCCCCAATAGGGGACATGCAGGAGGCAGCCAATCAATGATTATCTCTCATCATTGATGTTTCTATCTCTCTTTCGCTCTCCCTTCCTCGCTGAAATCAATAAAGATATATTTTTTTAAAATGTACTGAGCAACCAAATCCATAAAGGGAAGCAACTAACTTACTTCAGAACCTGCCAGAGTCCCAGTTGTGTTCCTGGGGCAGCAAGGCCTGGGGTTGGTAAACTGAGGTTTTCATGCAGGATGCTGTATATTTTGTACCAAAAGTGGCCCATCTGGGAGAAAGCATCACATAGTGGCCAACCAGTGGAAAAGCAGAAACCCCAGTGCAAGGTTCTTCCTTAAGGCAAGGAGGAAAGCTCCTGCAGAGGAAATAATAAAGGAACTGTATTCTATGTGGGAGAGAAGCCGGAGGCCTGTGGTAAGGGAAGCAGAAAAGCCGAATTTGGTTCCAGGAGGGTCTCAAAGGTGAGAAAAACACTGCAAAGGTTGCATCCATAGAAGCAGCAGCAGAAGGAGGTATGAACTGGAGACCAGGAAGCTTGTGTTAGTGCCTGCTCAGGTCAGAGACTGTCCCAGCAGGATAAAGGCAATCAACCCCAGACTTCAGGCCTGAAGGTCAGGGTTCTGCTATCCCAAAGGGTCATTTTCAGCTTTATTGAGCTATTATTGACATACCGTTAAGTTTTCTTAACTGCCATAAGGGAGAGGGGAAAAAGTCCTTGTGAAATAGCAGCTGATATATCTCAATAAGGAATAAAAAGCATATGAATTCATAACCAGAATTCTAAATCAATATATCTTTTCTACATACATTTATATGCAAATAAATACATATATATGCTATCATTTATCAAGTACTTATTATTTAAATGCTTAAACATATTTTCTCATATAATCCTCATGAGGTATGACATAGATACCTTTATTATCCCCATTTTATAATTGAGCAAACTGAGACACAGAGAGTTAAGTAACTTGTCCAAGATCACTCCAAAAGGGCAGAGTGGGGCCTCTACCCCACGATTCTGACCTGGGCATTCTGGATTGGTCAGCCCAGATTCTGGACTGGGCAGCCCACTCTGATCATAGATGTATTTAGAGAGGGAATCATTTGAGGCAAGTATCTGGGACCAAAGTAAACTATGCCCTGAGGTCTTTGAGCAATTTCAACAGGAAATAGGCAAGCTGGCTCAGCAGTAATCTTTTTATTATCAACCATTTATTGGCCCCACCTCTCAAATTAAGAGGTGGAATGGACTGGGGGTTAGGCGAGCTGGGTTCCAATCCTGCCTATGCTACTAATGAGCTGCCAGCCTTGGACCCTTGACCTATCAGTCATTCTCCCTCCCTGGACCTCACGATCCTCTTTTGCAAAGTAAAGGGCCTTTGTGGACAGAACTCAAAGGGCCCTTCCAACTCTCATATTCTATGATTCTTTGAGTCTGTAAGCAGTTTACCTCCGATGGACTGGCATGGAGTAATCCCCTCTGCTGAGTATCCTCTCTATCCTCCCTGAGTGTTCTGCCCTACACCCCAGGATGCTGACTGGCACTGCTTGCTTCCCCGAGGCTCGTCTACCCTCTGTCTATGACCAGGAGGCAGGGAAGGCGGAGGAGAGAAAAGTCTAAATGTTTGTTCACACACACACACACTCACTCCTGCGTAATCTGCCCTTCCTATCTGCATTGCAACAGTAGCTGGGTTCCTCTCCTGCCACAGCTCCTGTCAGGGTACCTCTGCCCTAGCCCCAGTTCTTGCTGGGCTCAGGAACACACATGATTCCCCTTTAGATCTAGGGGTAGTGATGGCTTCCTGTCAGTGCCCACCTGCTTCCTCACCCCCTGTTGTTCCCTTAAATGCCCAAACCTTTTCCACACACTTGATTCATTCAACACTGCATTGAAACCCTATTTTTCCTGTAGGGCCCTGACTGCCATAGCCCCTAATGGTGAGGTGGCATTCCTTCTTGTAATTGCTATCATGATATTGAAAATCTCTCCACCTGTCATGAAACAACACGGAAATCCCAGACCTCCAGCAGAGAACCTAGAAATAGGTACTTTCTGGGTGAGGGAGC